ATACCCCCTTAGCTATATATTAAATATAGCTAGGTAAGTTATAGTAGGTAGGAAATATAAATAAAAGATAAATAATAAGTAATAAAGATAGATAATAAATAGATATAAATAAATAAAAGAATAGATGTAGCTTATATAGCTAATTTGTTGAATTTGTAATAGCTTCTTTAGCTAAAATAAAGCCTTTAATATTAGATAGGCTTAGCTGTTTTAGCTGTTGTCTGAAATTATAGCTGTTGTCTGAAATTATAGAATTTTTGCTCTATAAGAGGTTTTATAAGGCTGTTAGCAGGTATTTCTAAGGTTTTTAGGTATTTTATATTGAATTTTCCTTCCTTATAGGCCTGCCTTATCTAGGCGTTATATATATTAATATGCCTTAGAGCTGTTTTAACTCTAGGAAGGTCTAGGGTAACTAGCCTTATAGTTTAAAGGTTATTGCAGTATATAGTAGGTTTTTGTTAGCGGTAGATACTGCCTACTATAAAAACACACCTACAAAAATAAAGGGAAACAGCTATAATATACAAATTGCCTATAAGGAATGTTTGCATGTATTTTGTATGTAAGAATTTAATATGCTTTACGCCTATATTTCTTTGCATATATAAATAAAGTTAAAAGAGGAATACTAGCTGGAATTTAATAAAAAGACTAATAAGCTATAAAGGCTAATCTACTCTATAGTAGGAAAGCAGCTATAAGAGTTATTTTAGCCTCTAAGGTTATTTTAAGCTACTATCTATACTTAATCTAGCAGCTCTACTATAGAATTTACCTATAAATAACCCTCCTTCCTTCTGACTAAATAGAGAGGAAATTTAGTCTCTATAACTACACTCTTTAATATATACTATTATATATAATTTTATACTATATCTAAAGTTACTTTTATTATACCTTAAGAATCCCTATTATTTTACACTTAGTAATTAACTAGATTATATAAGCTCTATTTATTATATTTATTATATTATAAAGAGTCTCTTAATTAGTTAATAGTTATAAGCTTAATTACTATAGGCTTTATACTACAAACTATACTTTATTAAAAATACGCTATTTCTATTTAGGCTTAGTGCTAAACCTCTAACTAATTAGAATTTAGTATTTAATTAAGCAACCTACCTAAGACCTACCTAGAACTTACTTTTCTAAACTTTATTATTATTTAACGAAATTTACACCTATTTATACTTATTTAACTAAGCTTTTATATAACAAGCTATTTACTATAAAAAGGAGCAATTTCTGCATAGAAATTTATATTAATTTACTATATTAATAAAAACGCTATTTAAACTAATAAAAACGTCTAAAAACGCTTAAAATTGCTTAAAATTGCTATTTAACTATTAAAATAGAATTTAATGCTATAGAGACTTCCTAAAAGGTCACCTTAACTAGCCTAACTAATTAGTATAAATAGATTTCTATTATTAAAAAATTCGCTATAAGCTAGGATATTTAGAACTATATTAACTTTAATATTAAGCATACTACTAATAATACTAGGCTTATAAGGCCTAAAGAGCCTAGCTATAAGGATATTAACGCTGTAGCTACGCATATTGCTGACCTTACTAATGCTGACCTTAAAAAGCTAGATATTGCAAGAGCTAGCTATTAAATTTAGCTCTAGCTATATCTAGCCTATTAAAAAGCTATATAAACTAAAATTAGGACCTAGATTACAAATTACTAAAAAGCCTTTATAGAGGCTATTTAGCTTAATTTACTAGATATAAAGAGTCTAAGACTTACTATTAACTTTCTATCTACTATAAATACTATAAATCTAGGCTTTTCTAGCTACTAAAATAACTAGATTTAAGATAAAGCTTAACTAAATAAGCCTAATTAGAAAGATAAAATACT